CCCCAAAACCCCAAAACCCCAAAACCCCAAAACCCCAAAACCCCTTTTAATGTTCGCAAATTTGAAATATTTTTATAGTTTTAAAATTCAACCCTCCTTATCAGAGATGAACCATTCTTCTGACAGATTAGAATTTACCTCCTGGTCTGAATTTAATGTCAGACATTCCGTGCAATTGATCCTTCAGCTGCTTTGGATTTGCCCAGGCTGAGTTCATGTAGCTGTCTTCATCATCCTCCTCAAGCTTCTTCTGTTCCTCCTGCTTTTTGTGGAAAAATGAGAGCATTTTCTTGTGAGACTCCTCATCAATTAGAGGTTCTCTTACGGGAGCTCCAGATCCCTTATGTTGCATCTTCACAATGATTTTTGATTTGTCGTTCTTCCCGACATAATCTTGAAGGAGTTTTCCTCTTGCTAGTTCTTTTCCTGCCCACCATATCTGAGCTTTCTCTTCCTCCATATCATCAGTGCCATGTAGAGTATGATCGATTTCCTCTTTATTCTCGAGTAAAACAAGGACTGGTTCCCATTCTCCCAATCCATGGAATGCTGGATATGCTTTCATAGTCATTCCTCTGAACCAATCAACGAGTTCGTTAAGCTCTTCCATAGCAATGGGCTTTTTCTTGGCAATGTTATCAATGTGGATGACAGATTTAGCTTTTCTTACTCCTTCAAGCATCTCTTCTACCATCTCCTCGTCAAGGATCCATCCAGTTCTATAATGGGTTTCATCAATGACCTCTCTTGTTCCAGTCTGGGGAGGCATTTTCTTCAACCCATTGATGACAGTAAGGTCTTCTGACTTGACATATTCGTCAAGATGCTCGAGACCTCTGAGTTCCTCTGGCCTCTGGGGTCCCTTAGTAGCCAATTCCTCCATTGAAACAGCCAATCTGTCCACTTTGAGCCTCATGTTATTAAGCTCTACAAGTTCGTGGATCAAGTCATCAACCTTAGTCTTTACAGTTGACTCATAAAGGAACTGATTCTTGTCTGTCTTTTTGAAATGAATGAGTACCATTTTCTCTTTGAAAATTTAAATTAATTCTAGATTCTTCCTCCTTGGCCAAATTTATGGGGTTTTGGGGTTTTGGGGTTTTGGGGTTTTGGGGTTTTGGGG